AGTGTGGGTGTGATTTGGAGTGTGAGCTTGTGTGAGTGTGAGTGTTGGTGCGAGTGTGAGTATGAGTGTGGGTCTCAGTGTTTTTGGCACGTGCCTGGGTTTGGGTGTCTGTGTCTGCGGTGCAATTTTAGCACTTATGGGGTGTGGTTTCGTTCCACTTTGTGTTGCCTGATTTAGGTCAACCTCACTTGTTTTTCTTCTCAATCTTGATGGTGGCTCCTAGACAAAATTTGATATAGATAGTTGTAATTTGCATTGATTTGAAGATGGTGTGTGTAAGGTTTTTCATACTACCTCCGACAAGCGAAACTTGGCGCGTTTTTTGTGATTTTTGTGTTAGTACCACAACTAACTGATTTCACAAGACTTTACAAGACTTCACAAGACTTCACAAGGCTCTGTTCCACGACCTACTAGTACTTGTAGCTCCATGCAATCGGGTGGAGGAAGCTAAGCGAAGAGCTGGTGAGTGGCACATGACTCAGATTTAGTCAGAGGCAGGCCGGTCTGTCTTGTACCAGCAGAACAGTGCGCGCGTACATTCTGCGAAGGAAAATCGTCGTGCTTTCGCGTTTCAATGCAAAACCAAGGAGTTCACTCTCTCTCTCCATCTGATCACTCAGCCAGCACAGAGTCCATACGTCCATGCCAAACAAGCCTGGTGTCTTTCAATAGCCTCCAGAGTGATGTGTCTCTGTTGGCTAAGGGAATTCGCCAGGAATTGCTGCAGGCAATTATTTTGGACTGTTGGTGGGAAAACCCGGCAAAAACATTTGCAGTCCAGGCGCAGGTACGTGGTGGTGTTGCACAGTTCTTACCACGTCAACCTGGAATATGGCGGCGGAAATGACTACCCTCGACATCGTAGCTCAAACAGACACGGCTGTTCACGTGCAGGCACTTATCAATATGGCGTTGTTCGGTGCGATTTATGTAATATTGACCCCTCGTTGTTATTTTTGGAATAGTTCAGCCCAGTCCAGTCCGAAAGGTCATACTCGGATCGACTCCCTGGTGTGTACGCACTCTGTTCCATGACCACATGACTGCATGGACACGTCGAACTACAGTCACTAGGCTAGTGCATTTTAGCGACTGCAGCGATCCGATCTTCTTGCTGCTGCGCTGTTTCTTCTTCTTCACTTGTGTCCTTTCTTTGGACGCTGTACTAGTTTGTTTTGTTTGATTACAATGATAACGAGTCAATGGACAACGCGGTCACCATTTTGTGCATGTCCTTTTGCTTGACGGGTCTTCATTCTTGTGGAAAAAGAACAGTTCTCTTTTCTTCCAACTTTGCTATTATTTAGATATTTCACCTCTGTTGATTTCTTGCTGATAGTTGTGGTATGTCAATAATAATAATGTACCAAACAAGTCTTGTCCTTTGTGTCCTGTGTCCAGGGGAAAGGAATGGCTGTGATTCCGTAACAGCAGTGTTCCACTTTTACGTCCTGTATCCTTTTCTGGCTGGTGAGCTCCTTTTGCTGTTTTGTCCTTGGAGTAAAAGGCTTGCGTTTCCCTTGGTTATTTGGAAGTCAGTGGCTGTTTGACGACCCTCTAAGATTATGTATTTGAAGTAGCAACAACGTAGAAATATCACAATTCTCTCTTGCGTATCATATCCGTCCGATATCACCAAAGCGTCATCAATAAAGGCGAAAAAGGAAAAGTGTCACGAGTTACGACTAACAATTCGTCGCACTCGCTGACTGTATAAGATCTGGTTACGTTGGTGGACAGTTAGTCATAACTCGTAACATTTTGTCCTTCTCCTTTTTCACCATTATTTAATTTGTTCACAGTCCGAGTTCATCAATAAAGGCGGTTGCATTTGAAAAGCAAAATGCAAATCATCAATAAAGGCGAAAAAGGAAAAGGACAAAATGTCACGAGTTACGACTAACAATTCGTCGCACTCGCTGACTGTATAAGATCTGGTTACGTTGGTGGACAGTTAGTCATAACTCGTAACATTTTGTCCTTCTCCTTTTTCACCATTATTTAATTTGTTCACAGTCCGAGTTCATCAATAAAGGCGGTTGCATTTGAAAAGCAAAATGCAATTCCCATATGTCACGTGATTGTTGTCTTCGAGTCGACCAGTGACAGATCAAACTGCGCCGGCTGAAAAGCGCGGTTCTGCCTGCTCAAAGGTGATGTACAGTCGACCTACTCTTATAACCTCTATAACGATATTACCCTTATAACGATATTTTTCTACCAAACCAAATCACTCCATTGATTTGTGTATTCAATGCCTTACCTCTATAACAATATTACCCCTATAACGATATAAAATGGGCTGACCAACCGACATTTTCCATTTTATAACAATATCTAGCAGAGAATATGTAGAGCCCTCTATCCAGGTAGGGCAGGCTTCACTTGGTAAGTCGCTGGGACATGACGAAATGCAATGGGGGCACCACTGGGCACATTGCTCTGTACATACTGGGCATGTACGTCAGTATTATGATATGAAGAGTTTAAAAAAATGAACAAAATCCATGCATTATGACGTATGTGTATGAAATGAGCCAGTTACCCCTATAACAATATTACCTTTATAACAATATTCCTCGGTGTGATGCAAATATCGTTATAAGGGCAGGTCGACAGTAACTAGATCTTTGCCTATCGTCAAGTTCGTCGTCACTTGACGACAAGCAGGAACGGAATCCACTGTGTTTATTGGCTCACAAACTTGGCGTGTGTTACGTAAATACAAGGGCAACGGAAAGAGTGAGTTTTGTAGATTTACTTGATTGTATGGTCTGTGCGTGCATGCATGCTCTTTGGCTAGGGTGTACAGCTGAAGCGTCATTTCATGAAGGTTTTATTGAGCTGTCACGAACAAATTCTAGAGAAAGTGGTGATGTGATGTGTATTTGTCACCTCGCCGCATTTTCAAATATTTTTTATCATAGTATTTCCTTTGTACTAGTCCAAATCTCAGTGAGACGAAGATTTGTTATGATTGCCACACGAAAGCGACGTTAAAATCCGTACTTAGTGTTCCGCTGGTGTCGTTGTAAGAGTGCGTAGACATTATTTCTTTCAAGTGTAGTATAATAGCAATAAAGAGAACAAATTCTGCAGTCATCACCACACTACAACGAAGTCATGAAAGGTTACTAGAATTAATTTTCTTGTCACATTCATCAGTCGAAAGTCGTGACTGAAGAGTAACCATGCTGAACAATGACTAAAATTAATATACATTAAATGATGTATTACGAGAACAAAATACAGTGCCAAAATAGAATGAGGGAAGGTGAGACAATAGAATTGAAGTGAGAGCTAAGTGCAACGGCGGGTGAGAAACTAATTATAACGCTAAAACTGTGTAGTGAGACAAACAATCAAGCTGTGCACCTACGAAAACAATTTTAACGCAACTACATGCTTCTTCTGCTTACAAAGATCAGGCTTATGCAAACGAATACAAACAGCCTCAAGTACTTTCAACAGACTAGCATACCGTGCACGACAAAGAACAGAAAAACTAAAATCATCATACACCTGCAGACACTTAGGGTGAGACGACAAGTGAAGAAAACGGCAGACTTCTTACGATCACAATCACCATCTGATTCCTCGTCTCCAACAACCGCAACCTCGTCCTCCGTCTCATCTCCCAACTCGTCCTCAGTTACTCTTCAGTCACGACCTTCCACTGATGAATGTGACAAGAAAATTAATTCTGGTAAACTTTCATGACTTCGTTGTAGTGTGGCGATGACTGCAGAATTTGTTCTCTTTATTGCTATTATAAAACTGTTGTCTCCACGTCGATTATTTGCAAGTGTAGTATAATAATATTATCAGCAATAGGTATATTTGTGAAAAAAGAACACATTAGTAGAAAGGACGGGTTAAGAGATGCGACTTTGGAGGTGACAAAAAAGACGCGACATTCCAACAATGAGCAATCGGCCATCAAGAGTCATCTGTCCGTTAGTGATAGTTGTCGCGAGTTGTACAGCGATGATGTTTGCTCAGTTTTGGCCACTGGCAGATCTGTATTGCATTTGTCTGTGTTTGTCCCCTGAACTGCTGTATTGCAGGAAATTTTCGGACGGAATATATTTTCGTACGATTTCGTACACGCCCTCTTTTGTACTAAAATAAATTCCGTACTAAAATTTGTTCCTGTGAAGTTATGTACACTATACATGCGTACCGCAAGCAAACAAGTGCATTTAGCATGCACCACTGTACGAAAATAAAATCCGTACGAAATGTCGAAATTCGGCTTTGTCCGAAAATAATTCCGTCAGAAAATTTCCTGCTATACAGTATGTGTTCAGAAGGAAAATATGTTGTCACATCAGTTGTTTGGTCTTAATCCTCGCGAAAGTGTCAGGAGTGCTTCTCCTCACTGATGCATTACGTTTAGTAATTTATTCACCTTCAACCTGTGTTTGACTGTTCTCCTGAAGTAATTTTTTTCCACACGTATAGCATGAGGCTATCGATCCGTGCTTTTGATGTAGCTCTATAAATTGCTGTGTTTTGACATTTTCCATTATTCCCTATACTTAGCCATGATGAGAAGGGAACGAAAACGTTCGGTTACCAAGTTGGTTTACTTGAATGTGAGGATTGCGTCGGTGCTGACACCTGTTCTTTCCAAAACACATGAGAATGAGTTATGCAGCAACTATCCACGGCTGTAGGAAGATGATAAACAGTCAGAAAGTTGGATAATAGGGCACAAAACCCATTACCACACTTTCTGACTGTTTATCTTGTTACAGCCGTGAATAGTTGCTGCATAACTTGTTCTCATGTGTTTTCTTCTCTTCTTTTTTGCATTTATTACTGCGTCAATATCCGAGTTAAAATTGGTGTATTACATGTACACTTGTATAATTTATACATGTGCAAGCAGACCTGTATAATTTATACATGTGCAAGCAGACCAATAATTATAGCAATGCATGATACATGTGTGCCACTTGAAAGCAACAGAGTGGAACTACTTACAAATGTATTAAGAGGTACAAGTGGTCAAATATACCAGGATTAATACTGGGCAGGACAACGCCGTCAACAAATCTGAGAGTGGACAAAAACAAAATTTAGATTGAGTGCATCGGCATGCAGCAATCCGTGACTTACTCTTTGTTGCAGAGGAAACTAAATACCGTGCTAGCTTGATTTGCACCCCTGGGGAACTATTGATGGAGCAGTATACAAGAGAGGGCAATTTTCGTTGGTACATTCACGTTGTTATGCACCCTCTGTTTCTCTAAATTGTCAGGAACGAACGAACACACGGCACCAGGACAACTATTGCTTCTTAATCCTAGAATTATCAAGATTTCAACTACCCTAGCCCTTTAGGAGCCGCCCCATACTTGAATGCGTCGTAAACGACGCATTCTAATGCAAAACTTCAAAAGATCGTAACTCAGTCCAATCTCGCTCAAAAAAAAAGAAACTCTCACCTGTCGGGAGAAACAATTCGCGAAGCGCTGCGAGCAACGGTTCCCGAGATAAATCACTCGTAAGTTGAGCCGCGATCTCAGCAATTTCAAAAGCGCGCAGTGCAACTTTAGTATTGAGATTTTTGAGACTTTTCGTCACGCTGGTTTACTCGAATTTGCACGGGTTTCACTGTTGATATTGTCAAGAGTACACAGCAAAAAATTTGGAACTCCACGATCAAGTAGAATGAAATATCTGGAGCGGGACGCAATTGGACGCATTTGGGGCATTTTTCGTACTGTCGCTGCGATCTAGCGCTGGATAGACGGTGTGCTGGCAATCATGATCGACCTCATTCTCTTCCTCTCGCGGAGACCGTTCCAGGAAGCCCTAGATTGTGAGGATTGAGTGAGTAGAACTGAAGCTATGATCCGAGGAACACGAAAAAATGCAGATTTTTGAAAATTTCCTGTGGCTCTTAAAGGGCTAGAATTGCCGGAGGCATCATATGGCTCAACGGGACTTAAACATACCTGCTTGGTATTATTTTTGGCAATATGTGTAGAAACGGAAGTCCTAGGGGTAAAGGGTACCTTTTAAAAGAAAGAACCAATAATTACAGGTGCACTATCTTGGAAATCAACAGCTGGCACTGCGCGCAGCGAAAGGGCGACCTCTGGTCAGTTTATTATAAGAGCATTTGCTTGCTAGGCTCATGCTACAGACTCTACATTTCAGTCCATTACCCCTAATATGGCGGCTGCTTCGCCAACTTTCTTGATTTTTCTGAGCATGGTTGGTCATTCTTTCACTGTTGTGATAAATAAATGTACGAGCGAAAGGAGAATATGGTGTCGCGACTCATAGCAAACACATAATTGCCGTTCGCCGTCGTGTCTGGAGACCATCTTCGTGATCAAACCTCAAGTAGTAGAGTAGTCCCTGGAAACTATTTTTGGGGTTTTACTTGATTATATGTAGTCCATTCTTATCCAGCTGAAGGGCCGTCGGCAGATTATTGCGGGTACGGAGGACTCCTCTTGCGGAAAGTTGCGAAACCAATGACATGATGTTGCCTTTACTCAAAGTAGAGTCCTCTCTACTTCCCTGTTTTCCTTCCTGCCTTGTGCATTTGATCACGACATGGATCAGCAATGTCTTCAAAGACAACATCGACACGATGTGCCATTAGCCGGAAGAGGTGTTGTGCCAGATCAGTCCGTGGCCGTGCTCGGGCAGATGGCTGTCACAAATCGCCGGAGCTGCTCCTGGTGAGCAAAAGCTATTTGGGCTACATCCATGCTGACTAAACAAACAAACTTTCCGAAGTACGGAATTATCAAAGTAAAAAATACCTTCAGACGAACGGAAACACTAAAACTATCCTCCAACGAACGGAAACACCAAAACTATCCTCCGACGCCGAGACCGGAAACACAACAACTATCCTACTATGAATGGAAACACTACAACTATTATCCGACGTGCGGAACCATTACAACTATTCCCCGACGAACAGAAATGCCGAGTTCTCAACCCTGCTGACCAACACCACAGGGGTGGAGTCTCAAGAGCCTGACAAACAATGCTCAAGACAAGTTCTGACACCATGTAACAGGAAGCATACTAGCAGCTCCAGTCGACTCAACAAATCGAACACGCTCCTTCTGGACTAACCAAGTCCTAAGGCGGAGCCCTTGTCGTGGCCAGCTTCATATTTCAGAATCAATGCAGGGAGTCATATTCGACTCCCTGGTGTGTTCAGAGCACGATGTCGGAGGTAGAACAAGAATGTGTAGAAATAAAGTGTTTTCCTAAAGGTGGATAGTGTGTAGAGTAATAGTTGTCCATTATGCATGAATAATAATAATAAGTAATTCGGGGATCACCATACAGAGCATGCAGAAAGAGTGTAAGTAATTATGTGATTGGAAGGCCAACGGGAATGGGAGAAGAAGTCTCTAAGACCATTCCCGTTACAAAGCAATGAAGGAGAAACACACAATTCTTGCGGAAATTGACACTTGACTGACTCGCGACTGATAATGTCATGTCAGTGTGTTTGCCTTTTCACGTTGGCATCGGCCTGAGGCATGAGCCTAGCCTTGGCTTGTGCTCCACCCAATGTTAGACATGATGCCAGAAGAGAAAGGGAGTAAAGACAGGATGGACGGAAAAGAAATGCAGCCCGGGTGTCAGAAAGGTGAGCCCTCCTTGCCAAAGAAAAACTTACACAGCTGCAACATTCCTGCATCCAATAATATTGTTCCCACGGCATTGGCAATGTCCGCAAAAGGTCACATTCTGGTCAGGTTCCGGCTCAGCCAAAGCCATCTTGGCCATACAGATCAACATCTGCAGAACATATTGAAGAGGAAACAGAACAGGGTTGGAGATTCATATTCCCACTTCCAGTCGTCGTCGTCAAACTAGTCGTTGTTGTTTAAAATCTCTATTCTCAAAATACTTGGCGGCCATTTAAGAGATAATAGAAGGATATTTAAAGCGCTTGCCTTCCCCTCTTTGGTCTTTCCATAACCTTGAACCTTCCAAGTTGGAAGGCTGTCGGTTAGCGCTACGGAGATGTGTTGAAGTTAGGTGTCAGGACGTCGAATGTCTCAGTACTCTGTCAGTTTTGTGCCTAGTTATTGCACTTTCTGACTGTATATAGTATCATGTTACAGTGATGGAGAGTTACTCTTAACTCGTATCCATACGTCCTTTTCTCTTTTACATTGGCTGGCCCATACATTGATCGAACACCGATGTTCGATGGAGTAGGCATTTTGAAATTATCATAACTTGGTGAAATCTCAGTCTTTTGAAGAGATCGAAATATGTAGGTTAAAGAGAAAACTCTCAGCTGTCGCCTGGAACATTTTTCAAAGCGATACAAAGAGCGGTGCCTGAGTTATAGCACTCGTAATGTTGGTCCCGGGAAATTTGCGCTCAGAGCGCGATGCGTGGGTCAACGGCTGGGATTTTCCCTGCTTACGTCACCTGTTGACAAGGCTGCACCGATTCAACTTCAAAAGCAGGTTCCCGGCATCTCTACGAAAAAATTTGAGTTTGATACGAGCAACAGGAGTGAAATGGTGGGTAGAGATAGATCTAGAGCGTGAGCCCAGCGCTGGTGGGCCTTCCCTGGCTTGCAGCGCTGGGCCAGTGCCTCCCGTGGAGTCGAGTATACGCTCATTGCGCTCCTCTCGCCAAGGCCTTTCCAGGATGCCCAAGATTGTGGAATTTGTCCAATGCAAACTAAAGTTACGTCCGATTTAGGTACAGGTTTAGCGATTGCGTGGGCTTGTTTGTATTTTAATCGGCCAATAAAGGGTTAACAGAGGAGCTCCACGAAAAAATGAAAATTTGATAGCCTGTAGAGTTTCGGGCGCTGAGTCGAATGGTCTTGGTCCGAAGTCTCTACGAGAAACCGTTCTTGAGATATTTCAATTTTAGCCATGCCCCGTACCAATGTATGTGTGACATCATTGTGGCATGGTGCGAAAATACTTGGATTTTGAATCTCATTTTCTTCAGGACGAAAGTCACTACAGAAAGTAGTTTGCCAAGTCGCCTGAGCCGCTGCAATGCCAAATTGTTGTGTTGTTGGTTGTGCCAGTATCATATCATCCTCCTGGGGTTAGTTTTCTCAGATTCCCAAAGGATGGAGACCTGGCAAAGTGCCGAGATGTTGCAATGCGTCGTGAAAATTTCAAGCCTATTTTCGCAGCACGAGCTATGTTTACTCGCTGCATTTATGATCCATAGGGACTTGAGAGCTGAGTTTTGACGAGTACGCCGTCCAGGAAAGCCCTCATCAGTGTACCAGTGCCCGCCGAACAGTGAGCCTCCAGCAAAGCGAACTCAACAAGATGCAACTGAGAAAGCAGGGCGAGATACGTTCCATCAGGATCAGAAGAGTACATCACCCCATCAAGTCCGACTGCAGCTAGCTGATGAACGATATTACCCCAGTAACTTAGCGCATACCAGTACTCAAACTGTGCACATCTGTCATCAACTGGGACGCAAACAGACAAACCCCCAGCAAGTACGAAGGTTACAGAACTGTTTGCTTGCGATGTGCAGGCTGCATGCACGACGAACTGTCTCACCAAATCCTGCCAAACTGAACCAGTGTAAGTTGATTGCGTGGATATGTCTCTATTTATAACAGCTACCCTACTTCTAGGCATGGTTGCATGAATATCATATCACTCAGAGCAGTTGTTAGAAGTCTGGACAGCCTAGGAATAGTGCAAGTAAGGTGAAACAAAAATTTATTCCACTCCGAGTTCCACGCTTACGGGATCACCAGGCAAAAACATATATAATTTCGAACAAGGAATGGGTTCTGGTTGTTTATTATTATTATTAAAAGCATGTCCGCGTAGGTGGCGGGGGTGCCACTTTCGCTTATGCCATTCAGGATTGATGTCTGAAGAGTAATACGATACAATGAAATGACAGAAGTGACGTCAACAAAAGCCGTTAGCAACAACACAAATATGACTAATGGAAAACTTCATCCAAAGTATAAAATAAAATAGAATATGCATACAACATGTCTGGTCAGTCCTGTTAGGTGGGGCGGGCTCCACGCCATGCCTGTCGGTCCGCTGCCATTGTGCGGACTGCGTCAACATCTAGCGGCTGGTGGAGGGTAAGTCCATGCCATGATAACAGTTCTGTCTGCAAGACCGTTACCAAAGTCGTCCGAGGTCGACCCCTGAAGCGTTCAGTGCCCTCGTCGTTGGCCAGGCGAAGATACATATCCACTGCCAACTGTGGAGGAGCAGTTGGGGCCAAACGAAAGATATGGCCAGCAAGACTGTAGCGCTGCCTTGTGATCATCTCGCTGATGGGGACAGCTCCGCAGCGCTTATACAGAGTGTCATTGCTAATTCGTTTAGGGTACCGCATGTCGATGATGCTCCTTAGCTGGGTCCTGTGGAACGAATCCATTCGCGCGAGCTCCGACATCGGTAGGCCCCAAGTGCCGCAGTTGTAGGTAAGGACTGGGATGACGTAGGCGTTGTAAAGCCTCAGCCGAAGACCTTCACTGATCTGGCGCATCCGGGTCCAGATCTTGAGGAGTGAGTTGAAGGCGGCGGCGGCCAGTTGACGCCTCCGAGCAGCATCTTCGGAGTCACCCAGGAGGGAGCCTAGTATGCGGACAGTACGCCACGTTTCTTGGTTCCTATCGGGAAATCGGGCGACGGTGGTATGCTCTGTCTTGGAGGGATTAACGTTCAGGTTCCATCTCGCAAGAACTGCTGGAGCTTGTTGTTCAACTTCACTGAGAAACGTCTCATCCCGGCTCACAAAATCAACATCGTCCGCGTATGCGATATCCAGCGGCAGGTCATTGTCCACAGCAGGGCGAGATGGCAGCTCCTGTCGTAGGTCCCGGAGAGCAGCCTCCAGGTAAATGGTGAAAAGCACTGGAGAGAGACTGTCCCCTCGAGGGAATCCGATATTTGTCTTGAAGGAGCTTTTCGATGCACCTTTCACACGAGGTTCAAGCCAGGTTTCAGTCAACAGTATACGGATCATTCGGAGCTCACTTTCTTGGAGGAAGGATTCAAGGATCCTCATCAGGACATCGCGGCGGACAGTGTCGAATGCTTTACTCATGTCAATTCCCAATATGTGGATGGACGTATTGAATCGCTGCGTCATACTACATAGCCATCTATGGCACCACACCACATCACTTGTGCTGCGGCCACGACGAAAAGCACTTTGGGATGTAGCCAGGTACTGATCAACCGCTGGCTGTATCCTCTTCAGCACAATCAGGGACAGCGTCTTTCTCAACGCCGAGAGCAGTACGATAGGGCGCGTACTAGTAAGCGGCCCTAGTGGTTTACCGGGCTTCTGCAGCAGTATTAGGGTTCCTCTGCCAACTTCGAGTGGGTCATGTGTCTCAATAGCTCGGTTCAAGATGTCGGAAGTCATCTCAGCGACAATGGGAGGACTGTACTTGAGTAACTCTCCGGAGAGATGGTCAGGGCCTGCCGCTCTCCCGTTATTCAGGCTTTGGAAGGCCCTCCTAACTTCGGACGATGTGATTTGATTGGGGAGAGGGCTGGGATCACCTAGGAATTGTGGAATGTCAGGGAGGGATTTATCATGGAATTGGCTTTCATAATGCTTGATGATGAACGCCTGCTGGTCTGCAGGGTTGATAACGACCCGCTGCTTCTCATCATGAATAATAGGCTGGCTGTACGGTTTTCGCTTCAGTAGCTGGACAGCACGGAACATCTTTGCCCCACTATCATGCAGTCGCTCCAATTCCTCTGCTTGACGATCCAAGGCTCTCTTGGCACTGTCGGATGCGATATCACGAATTTCATGCATTGTGCGATTTCTTTGATTTTTTAGTGACTGTCTTTTCTGGTCATCCCTGCACTCTCCAATCGCCAGGCGAAGATCTTTCTCCTTGCGTGACAGCAACTCAATTTCAGGGGAGAAGTCATGGCGGTGATGTTGTCTCTGCTGAGTGCCGGCCGAATCCAGTGCTGATTTGCTGAGGACTTCAGATAAGGATTCCCAGACTGCTTGGGTGCTGTTGGCTTCTGATGACACGCTGCACTGGACCTGGGTCTCCACAGTTCTCTTGTAGGATTCCTGAATTGCGACATCTGAAGCAAGCTTTCCAGTGTCAGGGCGCATGTTTTGTTTGCAGTGGTCTTGCGTTGGTGCATACCCAGAACACCATAGAATCTCGACATGTCCAGTCTCGCCACAACTAGGCGATGGTCGGAGAATACATATGTTCCCGCATACGACCTTGCGTCTGTTAGAAGGGGACTCTGGTTCTGACGGCAGCAGATGTAATCTATCATATTGTAAACAGGAACACCGGAATTGTCACGGCAAGGGCCTTGCCACGTTGTTTTATGTCTAGCGCTGTGCTGAAATGCTGTGTTGCCAGCGAACAGGTTGTGAGCTTCAAGGAAACTAGCAAAAACTCCACCACTCAAGTTTCGTTGACCGCGGCCATGGCGTCCAAGAAAGGACTCGCCACTTTTGCGTATCCCTAGCTTCGAGTTGAAGTCACCAGCTACGAACAATAATCCACTGGAAGCGTAGTCAGTCACGGCGTTCGCCAAACTGTCAAAGAACTCACTTTGTTCATCCGGGCTTGCCCGCAGCCGTTCTGTTGTTGGACCGTAGGCGTTGATGACCGTCAACGATGATTTTTTGCTATTGGGAAATTTGAATTGAATACCGGCCGCTCTGTCAGAAATACGCCAATACAGGCTCATACAGTCCTTGAGGGCACCTCCAACGGCAAAGCCCATACCGTAATGCCTGCACTCTGACGGCAGGCAGATGATTCTCGT